TTATTGGATCCCCGCTGATCACTGGGCTGGGACAGTGGGGGCGGGGCGCGCGGACTCACATACCCCGTGGCGTCCAGGAACTCTTGGCCGCCGGGCTCCACGCACAGAGGCAGCTCCGGGGCGCCCTCCAGGCCCTGCGCGCGCTGCATGTCCGTCAGGGTGCAGAAGGCGGCCACTCTCTGGTCTGGGAGGGACGGAGAGAGGGGGTTAGCTATAGCCCCACCGTTCCGTGTGGAAAGGAACTTAAAACCTCCCTTCACCCCCATCAGTTCACAAAACAAAGCAAACAAACCCAGGCAAGCTGACCACCAGGAAGCACTTGGACCGGCCGAATGGCCCATGCACACAGCCTGACGCCAGCAGGCCCAGGCGGAGCCGACGGCTCCACTTTCTGCACCCGACGGATACGGGCCCATGCAGACGTGCACACGGGGATGCAAGGACAGGTCACGGACGCCCGGAGCCCGCCCCGCCAGTCACCTAGGTAGGGCGCGTGGTGATAGAGCAGCGCGAGCTCCTCGTCCGCGTCCAGGCCTGAAATAAGATCCAGAGTTTCCCCGTGAGGAAGCCGCTCCGGCTCTGGGCCCTGAGCCTCGGGGCCCCGTCAGGTCCCAGCGACAGGGGCTGCGAGGTACAGCCGTGTGTGTGTGTGTGTGTGTGTGTGTGTGTGTGTGCGTGCATGCTCTGTTACCCAGGACTAGCTGAGAGCTGGCCTCATGCAGTGCCCAACAGTGTGGTCAGGGCACACATTTCACAGAAGCTCCTGGGTTTGCTTACATACCCGTCCATGGCCCTGGCCAGTGCTGCTCAGTGGTTAGAGCGCCAGCCCGTGGACTGAAGAGTCCCGGGTTCGTTCCGGTCAAGGGCACGTACCTCAGTTGCAGGCTTGATCCCCGGCCCCGGCTGGGGTGCCTGCGGGAGGCAATCAGTTGATGTGTCTCTCACATCGATGTTTCTCTCTCTCTCTCTCCCTCCCTTCCACTCTTTCTAGAAAAATAAAGTAAAATGACTTGCTCCGTGAAGGCAGACAGTGGTGGTGACGGATGAGCTGCATCACCTCCCCAGGAACCTGCGGAGGGAGCGGCGAGGGCGCGGCCGCCACCTGGCCAGCAGCACCACCTGTCTCGCCCAGGCCCAGGGGCCCCTTCTCTTCTGGGCACCAGCAGTTTCCCAGTCAGCGATGCCCCCAGGCAGGAAGGGAACACAACATCCTCCTGCACTGGCGCCCGCTGGCCCAGCTCCGGGGGCTGAGCACAGGCCAGAGGTGCTGATGGCAGGTCCTGCTTCCCGGCAAGGCGAGTGAGAGTCTCCCGCCCACCCCGCCTCTGTCCTCGGTGCCAGCAGGCGCGCGCCTCGACAGCGGGCATCGGGGACATGGCAGGTGTGGGAGGCGGTGGGGGCGGCATTTTCAGGATGTGATTAATGGCTGAGAAATGGCACCAGGGTCCCCGTCGGGTGGGCTCTGTGCTTAATTGATCCTATGTCTCTCTCTGGCTGCGGGACGCGTCTTCTAATGAGCTATCTGCCTGCCTGGCTTATGGGGGGGCACGCACTTCACTGCCCGCTAATTGGGAAGGATGGTGGAGGCGGAGGCCGCCAGGGGCACAGGAGGGAGAGGGGGCTGGGGGTGCCCACGAAGGCTGGGCCTCCCGGGAGCTGTGCTGAGTAAGGAGGGATGGGTCTCGCAGGTCTCCAGCCTGGCATCCGCTTCCCGCGTCACACCTGGGGCAGGCGCGTGGCTGTCCTGCAGCCAACACTTCCCGGCTTCTAGGAGGTGCCCGCATTCCGTGACCAGACTTCCCGGACCATCCTGGTCCCAGGGGGATTGTGCCCAGGATGAACTAAGTCGTGATGGGGTCCAGATGAACGGCATCATGTGGGCACTGCCCACTTCCACACGGGACAGGAGCACCAGCAGAGGCGGGCGGGCACGTGGGGGTGGGCAGGTCTGGCTGCCTAACGTCCAAGATGACCCTCCGCTCTGTCATGGCCCGAATAAGGGCACGGTCCACACGAAGGAAAAAGATGTCAAAACCAGATACAGCGTTTCCTCCCTCGTAGAGAGCTCCATCGCGGACCTGTATGCTACGCAACCCCGTGGTGAGTCGCTTGGCGTCTGTCTTTCTCGTACGTGAGGCTGATGGTCCAGCCTCAACATCCGCGTGACGATCTCTTCGCTGACTTCATCTGTGTCCACCTTCATTTACACCAGAGCCACGTCCCTGCCATGAACAGACTGGCTCCGGCGCCACCACCTCCCCGGGGAGAGCGGGGCTGCGGGAGCCGCGGGAGCCGGAGCCAGAGCCCGGCCGGCCACCAGCCTCACAGGGAGGCTCCCCTTCGGATCGGAAAGGCTGGGGAGGCTGGGAGCGAACAGAATGGCACCTGACGGGGCACAGGCGCCGAGCCGCTCTGTGAAGTCGCTCTCCCAGCGCAGCTCCCAGCGGAGGCTGCTCCCCCACAGCCGACTTCCGCGCCGGCAAACACTCAGCAGCGAAGCCATGACTGACACGGAACCAAATGGCACAGACACAGCTGTGAGGAGAGAGGCGTGGGTGGACGGAGTCCCCTAGACAGCTCGGAGGACACAGAGACAGCCGCCCGCACTACACACACACCATATGCTACACACACTACACATGCACACACACCACACATACACACACACTACGCACACACACTACACCCACACACACACCACACTACACCCACACACACCACACGTACACATACACACGCTACACACACACCAACACACCACACGCTGAGCGGGGCTCATGCACACACACCACACACACACACACACACCACACACACACCACACTACACCCACACACACCACACGTACACATACACACGCTACACACACCAACACACCACACGCTACACACACTACACATACACACACTACACCCACACTACACACACAGTCAGCAGGCAATTCCACAGCCACCGAGAGCTGAGGTGGCTGAGTTCCCGGACCCAGAGGGGCTCGGGCGCTGTGGGGAGCGGCAAGGCGAGCCTGGCCCCGCGGGGGAGTGCGCTGAGCAACTGGTCACTCTCGCCCCAGGGACCTGAGACCCCTCTCCCACCACCAGCTTGTCACTGCACCTTCCAAGCCTGTTTTCATTCAAAACAGCTCATCCCTTCAACCGATGCTCAAGGACACACCTCCGTCCTCTTGTGACCTCACTGAGCAGGACTGCACATCCTGGGAGCTTTTCAGGAGCCTCCCCCTCCCCGCTTCCCTGTGGGCCCACAGCCTGTTCCCTTGACCGACTGGAGGTGGGACCCAGTGCATGGATTACTCACAATGCCCACACCTGACATCTGTCCACCTGACAGATGCCAATGGTCTCCCCGAGGGTGACGGGTGATGACTGCGTCGTGGAACACAGTCCGCCGGTTGCATTTAGGAGTTTGGACGGGCAAAGGGCCATGTCTCGCCCCCACCAGACAAAAGAACCGCGCACATAAGACAGACCTGAACTGCTACCGGATGGTTCTGCTCACAGGACGCAGGGCCAGGTGGCCCGGGCCCCACGGGAGGAGCGCAGGGCGGGCAGGGGACGCATCTTCCCCCTTAGACCTGGAAGGCGGCCTTAGCCTTAGACGGTAGCTCTCATGGTAGTGTGGTCATGTCCTCACTTATTCATCACACTGTAATGATGCTGGGCAGTATTTCTCTCCTGGAAGCTGTTTTTCTTTTTTTTTCTTCTTTTGCATAATTTCCAGTAAGCAAGTTTTCAGGAATTAATTAGGTTTCTGGTCAAAGGGTGGGTACATTTTTTGTCATCTTGCCTGAACCGAAGCATGAATCATTTTGTAATCTCTGTAACGACACCGGCGGCAGGCATTCTTCATAGCTTCCCGGAGCCGCTGAATCATTTCGATGTTCGAAAGGTGTGAGCTGGCGGCTCCTGAGCGTGGACACTGACACGTGTGGTTGAACGCTTCTCGAGGAGTCACTCATTCTTCTTCTGTGGACTGCGCGTGCACACACCTAGACCAGTGGTTTTCTATGTTCTAGATATGGAAGCACAGCCTATTTACCTCCAAAATGTATTCCTTTCTTCTTTGCTTGCTTTAATGTCAAGGATTCCAGTACACAATTACAGGACGTCGTCTCAAATGATACCTTTGGTTTCTGGATTTATCCTATTTTCTTATTAATTATTATGGAGCTATTTGGAATAGAGTAGATTTCTTTGTTAAGCTTTGAAGGTATCTCTCAAATCTTTTTATTAGAAACTAGAGGCCTGATGGACGAAATTCATGCAAGGGGCTCGGCCTTCACAGCCCCGTATGTTACAGTAACATTGAAGACTTACAGTAACCTTTAAAATTTTCCAAATGTTTGAAGCTTTGTGCTTGAGTTTAGCTTCTATTTTCCTTACTTAGGCCTCTCCCCATGGCCTTGTGCTCAGAAACGAGGTGTAGGAACACCGAGGCGTGTGGCCTCGGTGAGGCTGATCCGTGGGGGAGGCACGTCTGCTCGGAGTGAAGCTGGACTTCTGGGTCCCGATCTCAACCCAATGGGTAAGGAAATGGAGGTCAAAGAGGAAAACTGACCTGCCCAGTCACAGCCGGTCCTGACCTGGGACACGGGGCGGGATCCTGTGCCCATCTCACTAAGTGACCTGGGCTCTCCGAGGAGGGGTCATTAGCCACAGCGCCAGCCCCTCCTGCTCAGCCCCAACCTCAGAGATGTGTGAGCATCCACAACGTTAGCCCAGACACCCCGGGAACAGAGGTGGTCCCCAAGTTGCCGCCCCGGAGGCCGTGAGTCCTTACCTTCAAACGCCCGAGCAGCGTCCACGAGGTGGGACCAGTCCAGCCCCGTGCCCGTGTCCGGGAGGGGCATCAGGCCGGGGTCTGCGCACTTGGACTTATCCGACAGGGACCCGTCGGAGAACCAGAACTCGTCTAAACAAAACAAACCCAGAGTCAGGCAGATCGCAGTTCAGGGCACACCTGCCCCGTCGAGGGGCTGAGGCAACTTCTTGTTAAAGATCTCCCGCCCTCCTCCCACCCCCCAAAGACACAGCTGGACAATCAGGGGCCTGCAGAAATGCCCCGACCTCCAGACTCGCTCAGAGGTCAGCAGCAGGGACCTGGTACAGGGCCTGGCTCTGAGCCTCGCACAGATGGGCACCTCACGGAGGTTTCTCCCGGGACCGGATTCGCTGGGGACCTCCCCGGAGCTCACCAGGACCAGCTCCTGCTTTCGTCTCTCTAACCGGGGAGTTTAAAAGCGTCCTGGAGTCGCCTAAGCTGCTCACCACAAATCTAGCTGCCTGGGGTGCAGCCACTTTGAAAGGCAGAGAGACGCACTGCGTGTCCCTTAGCAACGGGCGAGAAGGGACAGCATTCTGCGTGCATGGCAGGTCCCGGGGTCGGTCTCCCTTTGTCTGCACAAACTGGCCTTTGACTTTAAACTTCTCCTGAAACTCTCACCTCAGGACTGAGTGGTACTGACGGAGGCCAGGGGCCAGGTGCCCGTGGTCAGGGAGGGAAGGGCACCCTGTCCTGTTGGTGTCACTGGTTACTGGCCCGGGAACCGTGCGCCCGAACGGCCACTGAAGAGGTTTTACCCTGAAACCCCCCCAGCAACGGGCGCCGAGGCCCTGCACCCTGGGCGGAACCACCTGCCCGCCAGGCTTTGCTTTCACGTCTCCAACCTGATGCACCCGCCTCCGTGACTTTGCAGGAAACGCACACGAGTTCTGGCATGAATCGCCCGAAACCCGCTGGCGAGGTATCTGTCTCCGAGGTCAGATTAGGATCTTGTCTCCGGAGAGCAAAGATCCTGAACAGGTTCAAGGCTGGAGCGTCGAAAAGCTAAAAATACCTGCCCCGGAGGCCGGGGCTGTAACAGCTCCGCCTGGAGAACGGTCTAAACCATTTGGTACGTGAAATGGAGCTTCACAGATACATGAAAAAACTGGGGGAGACGGGCTTGCTCCCCTGTAATCTGCACTCTCCTAATTCCACACCTGGGACCAGACCTGGACGAGTCCCCACTAGTGAAAGGTTCTCTTTGAAGATCAGACGCTGCCTGGGAAGGTGCACGCTTTAAAGTGGAAAAGGGCCTGGCTGGTGTGGCTCAGTGGTTGAGCGTCGACCTAGGAGCCAGGAGGTCAGGGTTCGATTCCCGGTCAGGGCACATGGCCAGGTTGCGGCTCGATCCCCAGCAGGGGGCGTGCAGGGCATATAGCTGGGTTGTGGGTTGCCCCTTACACCAAAATGTCTGCAGGTTTGATTCCTCATCAGGGCACATGCCTGGGTTGTTGGTCATACAGGAGGCAACTGCAACTGATCGATGTTTCTCTCTCTCTCTCTCTCTCTCTCTCTCTCTCTCTCTCAACATATTTTCGAGTGAGGATTTAAAAAACAGGTTTAATACAGGTTTTCAAGTTTTCTTCAAAATGGATAGACCTGTATTGCTTAACTTTTTTAGTGTCCACTCTAGGGATTTTATCATATTATAAAGAAGAAAACACACCAGCAAATGCTACAGAGTTTAAGAAGTGACTTCCTAAAACCACCGGAGGAGATCATCCGAGGGCCCGTCCAGGCCCCGGGTCCGAGCCCCCAGCCCCCACTCACTGCGCAAGCTGCCCAGGCCCTGCGGTGGCCGCACATGCTCTCGTCCGAGAGGGTGCGGTACAGCGACCGGCGCGGGGACAGGTTCCCGTAGAAGGAGAACTAGGGTTCAAACACAGGGCAGGAGAACACAGAGTCAGGCAGCTGGAAGCACAGATGAGGTGACAGTAAGTGGGGTCACAGCGCGGAGCCAGCCCGGGGTCGCCCCCAGCACGTGGGTCCCCGGGGGCAAAGGCAGGAGGCCTCCCGGTTCTGTGGGATTTGCGTGCAGGAGGCAGCTGATCCATGATTCTCCTTCATCCATTGATGTTTCTCTCTCTTTCTCCCTCTCCCTTCTTCCCTGAAATCAATAAAAAAAAATACATTTTTTAAAAATCACTGGTACAGCCCTGGCCGGTTTTGTACAGTGGATAGAGCATCGGCCTGCGGACTGAAGGGTCCTGGGTTCGAATCTGCTCAAAGGCATATGCCTGGGTTACAGGCTCGATCTCTGGTGGGGGGGCATGCAGTGCAGGAGGCAGCTGATCAATGATTCTCCCTCATCATGGATGTTTCTATCTCTCTCCCTCTCCCTTCCTCTCTGAAATCAATAAAAACATGCCTACATGTGCATTTTAAAAACAAACCCAAACCTCTCTGATCTTATCGCCTGCTCATTGCAGAAGCCTCCATGAGCACACACGCACACGCACACACGCACACGCACACACACACGCGCCCCCCGCCCCCGGCACTTTTTTTAAAGTTCTTCCTAAAGAAGCAAGTAGTCAAATACTAAGAAAAAAATAAAAGTAAAAATAAAATAAAATCTGGATTTCCAGCTACTTCAGCACACTGACCCACACTCCGTTGACATGAACAACAGCAAGAGCCAGAATGTTGGCATGAAACAAATATAGAAATGCTACTGACACGTGTGGATGCAGCCAGGCGGCTAAAAATACCCCTATTGTACGTGTCCCCTCCATTGTCAGCCCAATTAAAAGTTATGATGTATTCTTATAGAAATATACAAATACATTGATGTTTCTATTTCTCTCTCCCTCTCCCTTCCTCTCTGAAATCAATAAAAATAAGTGTTATTTTTAAGAATCACTGGTACGAAGTCACATAGCGGAGGTTGCCGGAGCCGGTATCTGAGGCCGGGCCCTCGGATTCCAGGCCCCCTGTCCGTGCGGGAAGCTGCCCTTCCCGGCCTCCAGGCTCGCTCTGCTCACTGACAGAGCCAATGGGGAATGGCCAGCCGGCCTGGAGCTGCTGGTAGGATGGTGAGAGATGACGCACGCGGAGGCACTCTGGGCATCCCCAAGTCCCCAACGTAGAGTTTCCTTTTGTTTCCAGAAACTCAGCCCCCCAGAACTGCTCACCTTTCTCCTCCCCTCCTCCGCGAAGGGGCTGTCGGGGAGCATCAGCTTCACAAAGTCCTCCTTCGACAGAACGTGCTGAGTCTCCGAGCCGGCTTCTCCCGCCGCCGTCGGGTGCTGAGCGGCCGGGGACATGAGCTCCATCTCGGCGAACAGCCTGTCGGCGCCAAGGAGAGGGAGGTGAGAAGTGGTGCCCCGCCTTCTGCAAAGCGCCCGCAGCGGGCGTGAGAATGGACATCCCGTGAGCAGACTCAACCACTACGCACGCACCACGCACGGCCCTGGACCACTCAGTCCCGT